GAGACATGCTGGTGTACCTTCTAAGATGCTGGCTTTTCTTGGTCATTCAGAATCCCTTACTTTTTGTAAGAACGCCCTCAGGTTTTAGCAAGAGGATCTTTCTCTTTCTTCCCTGAGTTTTCTCTTCTTGAAATCCCAGAAACTCCTTCATAATTCATTTATTGTATCAGAATCTCTTCTTTGTTTTGAGGCATCACTCTTTTTCCACCCCAGGCAGACCGCCATTTTCTTTTTCTTTCTCTTTCCCTCTTTCTTTTTTTTTTAAAAACTTTAATTATGGAAAATTTTAAGCCTGGAAAAATAGAGAGAGACTGGGACAGTGAGCTCCCGTGTAGCCATCAACAATCGTCAGCTTGTGAAACAGCATTTTCCTAATGTTTCTGATTTGCAAATGTTAGAGCCTTATTTTGAAGGGACATCAGCAATCATGTGTTAGGGGATGCACACCTTTTTTGTCTTATGATGTGTGTGTGTGTGTGTGTGTGTGTGTGTGTGTGTGTTGGAATCTTGGCTTACTATACAGGTTATAGTGCATGCAACATGAAAACTTAAGAGTCTTGGGCGGCCGGGTGGCTCAGTCGGTTAGAACACAGTGCTCATAACACCAAAGTTCCCGGTTCGATCCCCACATGGGCCAAGGAGCTGTGCCCTCCACAACTAGATTGAAACAACTACTTTACTTGGAGCTGATGGGTTCTGGAAAAACACACTGTTCCCCAATAAAATTTATTCAAAAAAAAAAAAGAGTCTCCTGTGGTTTCCAGGGGATACCCCAAGCACCTCACATGCTCTCTCACTTTGTGTTTTATGCACCGTCCTTAAGTGCAGCCTATAACTTTTACTCTGTGCTTTGTTTATAGTCTTTGGTTGATTTAGGCCGTATCTCATCTTTCATCTAGACTTACACTCCTTGAATGCAGTTCCTTAGCTTTCTTCTTTTTTTTCCTGAGTATATATATACACCTAGAGTGTTCTTTATATATCAACTATGCTTAATGAATAAAAGCAAGCTAGCATAACGCAGTGAGAGACATCTGATAGAATCCTGGCATACTACCAGTTGATGAGACTTTTTTTTTTTTTTTTGGAGCAGAGGATAATTTTATTAGAGCAGAAAGTTACAGCTCTTGAAACAGGGGTCCCAACTGGGAGGCCCCGGTGAAACTTTTTTAAAGTTGCTAAACCTCTCTGAGATTCAGTATCACCATCCATAAATTGAATAACACACACCTTCCGGATGACGGTTAGGATTAGAAATAATGCAGCTATGGACCAGCCGAGTGGTGCGTTGGTTAGGAGTTGGCTTGGGACACCTGCTCTGAGCAGCAGGTCCCCGGCTGGGATCCCACATGAGGGCCAGTGACACTGCGCCCTCTACAGCTAAGATGGTGAACAACAGCTCAACCTGGAGCTGGGCTGCTGTGAGTTGCTGTGAGCGGCCATCCAAGGGCCTGCGACTGACTGCCTTAGCCTGGAAGAGTGCAATGATAATGCCAACATGAGCCACTGAATCCACGCCCTCCACAACTAGACTGAAGAACAAAAGGACAGCAATTTGTCTGTTCCCCTCTCCCAATTCCTTAATAAAATCTTAAAAAAAAAAAAAAAGAAAGAATGCAGCTAGAGTGCTTATCGCAGTGCCTGGTGCATAGTAGTAACTCAATAAATGACAGCTATTATGATTATGACAGATGCCGCGCTGCTGTGAAATGAATATCAAAGAGTATTATCCCCAACTGACTGACTTAAATGGGCACCAGAGAAACTAAAATACCGAGTAAAGTCACTTGAAAAGCCAGTGACACATTCATAACCAAACTCCTAAATGCCACTTCTCGGACTCAGAGACTCCTACAAACATTCTAAAATCTAATTGCTGCTTATATCTTAATGGAGGAATTCTACTTTATAACAGAAACAAGACATTTCCAGCAGCTCATTTTGAGGGGATTCACTAAGTTTATGATGATAGAAATCTAGTTTTGGGCTTTGTGCCTTCAAACCGTGTCCTCACATCCACAGTAATACTTGAAACGAGCACATCAGGCCAGTGCATCTCTGTTGGGGTGCTTTGCTGAGTTTATTTGTGGTCAGGCTGGTTCTCAGAATCACTAACTGTTAGTGAATAGTTTGTAAAACAGACTGAGGGAAGTGCTTCTTTCACCCAAAGAAAGGAATGTTAAGAGCCTATCTGTCTGTCTCTCTCTGTGTATGTGTGCATGTCTCTCTCTCTCTGTCTCTGTGTTTCTTTCTTTCTGACTCTCTGCCTCTCCTACACACACACACACACACACACACACACACGCACACACGCACACACGCGCACACACACACACACACACACACGATCTTTTTGACCTCCTATTCTCTAGGTCTTAGAGAGGTATGCACACCTCTGTGTGTTCTTCCCAAAGTGGAGAAGTGATCTTTCTGAGCTGTTTCCCCCCATATTTTACTGAAGTATCAAAATATGTCATGTTTAATCATCGGTAGGTGTCTAATCTGACTACAAGCTGAAGGCAACTTCAAGCCAAAGGAGTGAAAATTGTATAGTAAAGGCTCCCCCTTTTGTCCTAAATGGACAAAGTTAGGGAAGAAAAGGACTGTTTGAAGGGGCTCTAAAAAAGATATACCTCTAACCATGGCCTGCTGATGTGAGGTCCCTGCTCCTACTGGATTCACAATGTTGCATTCTCCTTTTAGCAGGGATCATTATAAGCAAGTAAAATCAAATCACAATGAATTACCTGGCAAAGAATGAAAAGACAGAGGCCACTGGAAACCCATTCACTCCTCAGAAAGAAACAGTGGGATTTTTTTCCCCTTATGTTTTACAAATTCTTGTTTCTTCCTTAAGCACAGTGGCTGTAATTACAGCATCTTAATGTTTCTAGCATCTTTCATTGTGCTTTACACACAGTAGGCACTCAGCAAATAATTATTGTGGATACTGAATGTATAAATATGTATTCTTTGAGAATCTACTATGCAGCCTAACATTGTTAGTTGCTACGTGGATGACTAAAGAAAATTATAACTCAGAATCCCTTGCTTTCATTGGTCTTGCAGTCCAGAGAGGAACATAGCAATTTTGAGAAATGTTTGGCCATTATTACCACTAATATTTTGTCTGCTTCATCTTATTCTCTTCTCCTTTTGGGAATCCAATTGTACATATGTTAAATCTTTTGATAATGTCCCACAGTTTCTTGAAGCTTTGTTAATTTTTAAATCTTTTTTTCCTCTGCTCTTCAGAGTAGATAATTAATCTATTAATCAGTCTTCAAGTTCACTGACTCTTTCTTCTGTCATCTTCATTCTGTGATTTTTAACATTTCAGATATATATTTTTCAGTTCTAGAATTTCTATTTAGTTCTTTTTTATAATTTCTAGTTACCTGCTGATAGTTTCTATTTTTTCATTAATTACAGGCATAGTTTCCTTGATGACTTGAGCTTAGTTAAAATAATTGTTTTATAACTCTGTCTGCTAATTCCAATGTATTAATCATTTCAGGGTTGATCTTTATTGATTTGATTTTTTTTCTTGAGTATAGGTGATGTCTTCCTGTTTCTTTGAATGTTCAATAATTTTGAGCTGTATCCTGGACATTGTGAATGATATGTTGTAGAGATTTTTCAATTCAGCTACATTTCCCTGAAGAGTATGTTTTCTTTTTTTAATAGTAGGCAGTTAACTTGGCTGAATTCAAACTATAAACTTTGTCTTCCTTGCTATGAATGACAGCTCAAATTTCTGCTCAATTCTTTTAGTCTTAGCTGGGCTGCTTCCAGTCTGCCTCACACTTGTGTAGTTCTGGAATCAGCCACAGATTTGGGCGGAATTCATACACACAGTTTGGGCCTCTTCCTTTCGGGCTGTCTACTTTTTAGGACTTCCCTCTTTGCTTTCCAGCATCTGTGTTTCCCTCAAACTCTGTCCTCTGGTTTTTCAACCCAGTAAGACTTTGGGTTTTCTTTCTGACGTTTAGCTGCCATGCATAATGCAATTTGAGGCCTTCCCTCAGGATAAATGCCATCAAAAATGGGAAATTCACTCAGTGATTTTCCTTCATCCAAATGTTGACTCTACCAGTATCTACCATTTTTTGGTTGCTTTCCAATGTCTTCAGAGAGTTATTTTTATATTTTGCCCAGAGTTTATACTGTAGTTGTTATCTGTGAGGAGGTCCAACAGGACCACATGGCCATGACAGGAGCAGAAAAACTAGATAGGTATGTTGGGCCAAAAAAAATAAGGACAAATAAGCAAATTACTCTCAAAGAAAGACTCAGAGAAAAAACATTTAGAAAGGAAAAAATTTTACTTATAGAGAGGTTTGCAAGGGAGTTCAGGCTTTAGAAAGACAGGCTCATCAAATAAAAAATGCAACATGTATTTAAAGGGAAAAAATTACCGAATCTCTGAGTTTACCATCAATATGTTTATGAAGAAAAACAGTAATTTTCTTGCATGAGTTTAATATTTACAAAGGTTGACACATATCTTCAGACATCAGCGTTGCAAAACTTAGGGATAGAGACTTTTTTGTTAGGGAGTCAGTGACCTTCAGGAAAGGTTCAAGGTTTTCATATTTTGGGGACTGAAATTAAGCCCTGTTTTTTTTTTTTTTAAATCTGGGTTCAAAGTGATCACAATCCCAGCCAGCACCACTGTTCAGGTGGGAGGTAAGTCCCGTAACAGCAGCTTAGCAGGGTGCTGTGTTCCCACAATCTCTCCTTGTTGTCAAGTCTCACTCTAACATGCAGATTTGACCTCATAAATTGTCTTGAGATTTTCTGATTCAGTGTAACTCATTTGGTATTTTGTTTTATTTAACCGGTTTTATTTACATCTTGTATAAGCGATGTTAATATACGAGGACATCCTTGTTACATATTACTATAACCAGAGCCATTCTGGTTTAAGAGTTCACTTGTAAATCCTCTGCAGCTATAATTTACTTTAATGTATCAGAATTATTTTATTGCCTTTTCAGCTGCTGAGGTAAAGAACAAGGACCATCCAGTTTGCTCCAATGAGGTCTGCCTGCCGTGGCCTGTAAGTATATCCTTTCTTGGAGACTCTCAAGTTTGCCAATTTCCTGACCTGCTAGGAAACTCTTTATTACCTGTAAAGCTGATATTCTGTAAGCCATAGGATAGTTCCAGGACAATTATCTGGGAGTGGTATGCTGGAACTGGCTCTTACTGGTCAACAAGAGCTGATTGTTAAATTTGCAGGAACTTTGTCAGCTGCTTGTTAAACACAGCTGTTCCTAGATAGGAAACTTTATAACTTACAATTAAATAAATTACATTTAAATTAGTGGCAGTAAATACTCAAAAGCCATCACTTCCTAATTACTGGGTGACATTTTATTTTTAGATATGTCCCTGAGGTTATTCACATCGATTATATCTTCGTGGTGGAAATACTATATATACAATGGGGTATTTATTGCGTGTCTCTTCCCAACTGCATGTTCAGTGATGTCGTGTTGAAACTGGCTATGATGGGAGTATTTACACCACAGAAATTGGCAAATGCCACACAGCAGTGCTTCTTTTTCCTTTGGAGAGCTGGTTGCTAAACAGTCACCACCACATTGTTTGTAGGCATCTCCCTTTAATAGATAAAACATAGTCCTTGGTCCTAGTAGTAACTTGTCATACCTAATGGTTTGTGTCTTGCTTATTGTGGCAAATTTTTATCCAGTTTAATCTTATGGGAAAGAGGGTGATTTTTATTGAGCCTAAGTTAATAACTACATGATCATGAAAACTAGAGGAACTTAGTGAAACACTGTGAATAATATTTAACCATTATTACTATTATCTTGGGTAGCTTGTAGATAAAGTCTGTTAATATATTCTACAGAATCACTATTTTTAAGTTTTTCTTTCAGTTTCCTACTTCAAAATATATACTGAGAACTTTCACAAGGTTTTTTTCCCCCTGAATTCTAAGAATGGATGTTGGAATAACATACCATGTAAAGAATGTTTTATTCCAGTTTATACAAATATATCCTGTTAAGCTGGTGGTTAGAGATAAAGAAGAAGGAAAAGGATATTTCCTCATATACTACGCAAAATAGAACATTAGCCACACAGTTAAATCAGTTCACTTAATCCCAGGAAATTAACTTTTACTTTGCCGATCTTGGGCTCAGCAGCCTACTTTCATGAAGCCATCTGTTTTTGTGTTAGTAGTTCTGGAAATCTCAACCACATCCCCTGATACAGACCAAACAGGTGTATGTGGAAATGAAGTCAGTTCCGACTGGGAAGTCCGCCCTCAGGAGTGTAATCACTGGAATATCAGTAGTTAAGGGTACCTGCTACAGTGTTTATTGCATCTCCTTTAGAGGTTACTTCCAAAAGTTTTGATTTTATTTCTGAGTTTATGGCAGAATCCTTTAGGCAAGTATAAGGGAAAAGCAGATGACATTTGTTGATGGCAACACTGAATGACTTTGGCCATTTTATTGTAATGTCCAACAGTATCAGAATGGAGGAGAGTGAGCTAGCCAATCAACTTATAGATAGGAGTTAGTCAGTGACTTCCCTGGTGAGAGAGGGCCTTCACCCCCAGAGCCTTTAATTCATCCCATAAGGTGTGTTTTATTTTTCTTTCTTTTTTTTTTTTCTTTTAGAAATTTTATTGGGAAACAGTGTGTTTTTCAGGACTCATCAGCTCCCAGTCAAGTAGTTGTTTCAATCTAGTTATGGAGGGTGCAGCTCCTTGGCTCATGTGGGAATCAAACCGGCAACCTTGGTGTTATGAGCACTGCGCTCTAACCACCTGAGCTAACCTGTTGCCCCCATAAAGTGTGTTTTATTTGTCACCAGTCGACAAGGGTATTTTAAGGCTAGAAATAAAAGCTTTCTTCTTTTTATTTTTTTAAAGGGGTCAGTTTGTTGAAAGTTATTTAGTAAGTCTTTGCATATAAATGTGATATGGTGGGTAATGGAAGAGATTGTTGGGTAGGGGACTGATTTGTGTAACTGACATGCGAGAGTTTTATATTTTCAGAGCATGAAGGAAGCATACAAGCCATTTTTTGGCCTTTAAAGTTATCCTTAGTCAATCAGCAGGTCAAGGAAACCTATGTGGGGCCCTGAGAGGTGAAAGGTTAGTGTGTGTGTGTGTGTGTGTGTGTGTGTGTGTGTGTGTGTGTGCATTTATGTATGTATTTTGGGGGTGAGTAGGGAGAACTGTAGGCTTCTCTGAATGTAGTTTCAGTCTGCCCCAAGGGCTCAAGGAAGGGGTATGATTGTTGTTGGCAAAAATAATGAAAAGTAAACATCTGGGCAGGGGCAGAGAGAAGAGGGATGGTTCCCAGTACAGAACAAAGCACAAAGGTGAGAGACAGGTTCCTGTCGCAGCCTGTCCTGTGCACAAAACCTGCTTCAGGAATTGTGTTCAGAGCAAGTGAGTCCTTTTCTAGTTCATCAGTAGTTTTCTTCTTCACATCCTAATTTTGATTGACTTTAGGGTTCTAATTGTTAAATTTAACATTTATTTTAATGGATTTAAAACCTTTGAAAAATCAGATTTGCCCAATTTAAATGAAGTTCATCACAGAAAGATCCAGATTGATCGCACAATTGAATTATTGTTCAACTTTTTAAATAAGATGTATCCCAGAATTCTTTTAATTTACATTTTTAGTCTTAAAAACATCTTTCCAGAAAGTTTGGAAAGTAGAATGAGGAAGAACCCATATTCCAACTCCCTAATGTAACTATTATCATTTTTTATAAATCCCCTTCCAAAATTTTATCTTGTGTATATCTGTTATTTAGACATTTTAATTTTAGTGTACACGCAATTTTGATTGTGACTTTTTCCTCTTGACAGTGAGTCATAAGCGTTTCTCATTGTTGCCACTAAGTCTTTGTAGCCATCCTTTTGATATTTGCTGAGTGTGGAATTCCTTTAAACAGGCAGCTCCCTTCATGCTTTTCAAACCTGGTATTGTTTCCAAAAAAACAGAACGCACACAGGTTTTCAGGAACACAGCTATTGTGTGAAGGGAGCTAGAACCACAAAGAGGATGAAAGGAAGTCAGATTATCCTCTTGGTTAGCAGGGAGTGATAATGTGGAAACAAGGGCTGGAAACCAGTGCATCTTTTTGTTCCAGGAAAGCAATCAACTCCTTACTTAGTTTCTCATCCGGGTGCCCAGATGAGTTGCAAGGTGTATCACAAGGAATTTGTTTCCGTTATAGTAAAAATATTGTAAATGGGGAGATTTGCTCTTGTCATGTATTGGGGAGAATCCAGGTTGATCCCATTCCCTCTTGGAAGCCCAGTAACGAGGGTGGGACTAAGGCTGTGAGTGGAGGTTGGAGGTGAGGCGCGTGAGGAGGGAGAGGATGCAATTCCTTTCTCCTCGTGTACACCTGGATGAGCTGCCATACCCTCCTCTCCACACCAGTCAGAGTTCCTTCCTTAACCCTACTCTGTGCTTATCATTGCGCAGAACCAACACGCTATGTAAATTAGCTGCAGTGCCGCAGCGTTTTAACATTCAATCATCTTGAATGCATTGATCTGATGAGAAAGGACAATGTAAAATCAGATGTCATTCTTCAAATTAACTGCAAAATAAGTAATAATGTCTTTCAGTCTCTCAGAAGCCTCCAGGGTTGATTTCCAAACATGCCTTGTTACAGATGTTGGGTCAAAAGCGGTGCTAATAGAATTTCTGAATATTTTAATAGCAATGTTGGTATTTCACATCCCTTACTGATAAAATTGACTAAAAGGACCTTGAAAAATTAGATCTCATATCATTTTCATACAGGATTTTAAAAAAGCACCTTGAAAAGCTGTCTAGCCCGAGTAATTAGAATGAACTAATTCCACTTACGTCTCCTTAGCGTGTCAAGCCCCTCCCCCCATTTTATCCCTGTGTCCTTCCAATGCGCTCACACCCACAGGCTGAGAGAATATGTGTCTGATAGTAGTCAGTGTCATGTACGTGGATCCTCCTTCAGCGTACAGTTTGAAAGCAGAAAGGGGAGGATGACAGAGTCGACCAAAAGTAGCAACTGGTTTATCAAGTCCACCGCCTGACAATCCCTATTTTTGAATCCACATTCTTGCCAAACCGTTGCTTGTGGCTGAAGCAATGTGGTAAATCCTGGTGTCGGTAAATCCTGGTTTCTATAGTTTAACTCTATAGTTTATAGTGGTTCTTTCGAGGTTCTTTTTGCAGCCACTTTATCCTAGAGAACTCTTAGGGATTGTGTCCTAATCATCACAAGAAAAAACATTTTTTTTTGGTAATTATGTGTGATGACAGATGTTAACTAGATTTATGATGGTGATCATTTTGCAATATATACAAATACCGAATCATTATGTTGTACCCCTGAAACTAATCAAATGTTATATGTCAATTATACCTCAATTGATCAATCCCTAAACAAAACGAAACAATATTGAATTCATTTGTTCATCAACTATTTATTGCCCTACTAGGTGTCAGGCTTTGTTCTACGTGCTGGAGATGCAAAGGTGAGCCAAAATAGATGAGGTCACTGCCCTGTGAAGTTTGAGTCCAGCTAGCTATAGACATTAATGAGGGGATCACACTAGCTGTGTACTGTTACAGCAATGGCAGGTGTTACATCGAAGTTGTGCAGCCATGAGAGTACAGAAGAGGCATTGCTGCTCCAAGGGGTCCTCCCCAAGGCAGTGCTACTGAGCTGAGATCCCTGGAGGGGTGGGCATTCTAGGTGAAGAGCATTTGAATTCTGGGGAGAAAAGGGGCTCAGGGAAGTGGTAAGGGGAGAAGCATTCCCAGTGGAGGCCTCAGCATCCGCAAATTCCCTGGCGCCCGGTGGAGCAGAGCGAGTTAAAGAAAATGAAAGAAGGCCAGTGAATAGTTTTCAGGCCAACGATGGAGGCGGAGGGAGCAGGGAGCCGACTTAGAGGAGAAAAGTGGAGACTCTCAGTTTGCATTTAGTCAAGGTTAAGACGTGAGATATCCATGGGGAGAGGTAACAGCTAAGCAGGAGAATGCACTCTTGTCGTGTGGAATGGAA